TCGCCAACCAGGTCAAATGTAGTAAAACAACTGTATATAAGGTACTCAAGCAATTTCGCGAAACTGGTTCTGTATTATCCAAGAAACAAATTGGCAAACCACCCCTTTTCGCTTCCTCCGGCCTTCAAGAACTCAAAAATTTCGTGCAAGATGATGAAGAAAACAACCGATGACTTTTCACCATCCAACTTGCAAGTGTTTGGTCACTTCGTTTAAAGAAACCTATTTTTGCCATTACTATATGCCGTAACCTCAAAAAACTTGGACTTAGAGCTTGCATGCTATGAAAAAAACCCGCAATTTCAGAAGAAAACCGTAAAAAATGTCTGGAGTGAGCAAAAACGTATGAAAATTGGACATTAAGACAATGGAGAAAGGTTTTTTTTTCTGATGAGAGTACCTTCACGCAATTCCAGCAAGGATGTAATGGAAAGATATGGCGTGAACCAAACAAAATGTTTCATCCATTTTGTATTGCTGCTACTGTGAAACACAGTTCCAGCTTAATGTTTTGGAGATGTTTTTTGTGGTCTGGACTTGGTTCCGTTATTCCTTTACACAGCTCAATTACTGGAATTATACATTCTAAAACAATCAAACATCATGTGATACCTACATTTCATAAATATTTTCCTCGTGGTGATGGAATCTTTTAAGAAGATAATGCCACCTCACACCATTCAAAGATTGCCAAAGAAGCACGTCAAAAAGTCAGAATTGTGATATTGCCATGGCCTGCCCAAAGCCTGGATTTAAATCCGATAGAAAATCTTTGGGCAGAAATGAAAACCATGGTTCGTCGCTGTACCCCACCACCATCAAACCTTAAAGAACTTAAACAGTATGTCAAGCAAGCATGAAAAAAACTTCCTTCCGAATATTACGAAAAATTAATCAATAGTATGCCTTGTTGTATTAAAGCCGTAATTGCGGCAGATGAAAATGCAACAAAATATTAATATATTAGTATTTTTTTTTCATCTTAATTTGATCAATTTAATAAATTATTATTTTACCTTAAATAGTTAAAATAATTAAAAAAATTTCGCCGTTTTAAAAATGTCCGCATAATAATAATCGCCGTCTGTATATTACTATATATTTAATTTATTAAAAAATAATAATAATAAAATAGACCTATGGATCCATAGCACAGTGGTTAGTGCTCTGCAGGTCAGATCACAAGATACTGGTTCAATCTCATGTGAAGGCGGTTGAATAGAATTAATATGGTATCTGGCACCATAACCAATTATGTACTGTTTCTCATGAGAAGCCATTTCACATACTGATTCAGCAGGTGTTAAGATTGTGATCTTCCTGTTAAAGGTGTAGTGGTGTGACGATCGTCCAGATGGTGTCACGATAATCGTCTATGAAAGGAGCTATAGAACCACCCATACATTTGGAAGTACAAACTGGGCTGTACTCTATCTTAATCGATCCCAGTTCACCAATCTCCTCCCCTTCCCTGCTGACTATCGAATAAGGAAGCTTTAAAGAAAACACTGAACTGACACCCCCCTGTGTGACATGGTTCCTCTGACAGACGTAGGAGTTGTATCCTGCTTGGCATTTATGCCCCTAGATTTGGCAGCTTACGCCAACTGGTCAAAACTGGATGTCTACTAGGAGATTAACGTAGTCTTGATAAAGGATGTTTTCAGTTGCACCTGGAAAAGACGATCCGTTAAGGAGTTGCATCCCACATAGTCACAAGATCCCTAGATTTGGTAGCTTAAAGCCAACCAGCGGTCAAACCGGAGCATTTGCTAAGGAGTACATCAAGATGTTCAAGTTCCCTCTGTATAACAGCTGCATGAAAAGTGAAAGTATAATGTGATAAGCAACTTAGGAAATAAATCAGTAGTTCTCCTACTGCCCTCACACAAATTGGACCAGTAGGTTGGATGGTTTAAAATTAGTGATAGAATTTTCATTCCCTAGATAGGTCCTCCCAAAAATACATGAACCCACTTCATGAGTGGCATTAGTATCGTTGGAGCAATAAAAAGTAGATAGTTTAGCATTTAGCTGTTGTAATACAATAAAGGATGTTTGATGTATATGTATATAAATTGATAATTATTCAATAAAAACCAGTGCATCTAATACCATTCTATTATAAAATAATAATAATAATAATAATAATAAAATAATAATAAATAATAATAATAATAATAAATTATATTATTTAATTTTAAATATTTGATTGATAATTATTTTATATCATTTTATAATATTATTACTACTAATTTTATTATATTTAAATTAAAATTAAAAATTATTAAAATTATTTATTGAAATAATTTTTTTAATATTTTCAAAAAATATATATTATTAATAACTTTGATTTTAAAAAAAATTGTATCAAAATAATAAATAAAATTATAATAATATTAAATTATATAACCTATAAACATTTTTTATATTTTAAATATTCAATTAATTTTATTGTTTTTTGATCTCAAAATAATTTCTTTATTAAAAAAATTTATTAAAAAACTTTATTATAAAAAATATAATAACCTAATTATATTTAAAATAAAATTATTAAAATATTTTTTTTATTTATAAATTTTTTATCAATTATATTTTAATTAATATAAGAATTTATATTGTTTTAAAATATAGTTTTTAATTTAAAAATATCTTTATTTCATTATTAGTTTTTTAGCAAAAAAAGAAATTATTAAATTATAAAAATCATAATTTTTTATTTTATTTAGACAACAATCTACAATAATTAAATTAGTATATAAAATTATAGTTAATATTTTTTTATATTTGATATCAATTATTGAATTAAAACATTATTAAAGTTTTAATTTTTTTTTATAATTTTATCTGAAAATCATAATATAATATAACAAATATTTTATTATTTACAAATATTAATTAATATTAAATTTACAAATAACTTAAATTATTATATATATATATAATATTTAAATGTTAAATATTAGTAAAATTAATTATATTTATACATGTTTATTATTTAATAAAAAATATTTATAATAACAAATATTTATAAATTAAAACAAATCGATTACAATATTTTATATTTATTATAATGCTAAAATTATTTTAAAATTATTATTAATTAAATATTATTTGAAAAAAAGATATAATTAAAGCTTATAATTATTTATAAATAATTTTTAATAAAAATTGATTTTAATAATAAAAAATACTTGAATTGTACAGTATTTTCGAATTCTTATCAAAAAACCCATCTTCATGATCAATATCATTTTACGTACATAACCAATACTAAAATATATTGTAATTTTGAAAGTATTATATGTAAAAAATTATATATTTGAGTCTTATAAATTATTAAATTTTAAATTTTATTAATTAAATTAACTACTGTATTCATAATTTTAACTGATGTGTTATAAGTTTTTATATGCATTTTAGAATGATAAATAAAAAGTCTACTAGTGAAATCTATTTGACAAAAGCATAAACTTTCCAGACCGATTAATATTTTATGAGTTACCGTTTAACTTGGCTCTCGAGTCTCAACTACAAACTACCTTAACTAAGAAGTCGACCTGGGATTTTAATATTTTCTTATGATCTACATAAAGAATTTTATTTTAAATTTTAATCTAGATGAAAGCAATTATCTAAAGTATATACATTACTTTCTGCATTAAACATAAAAATTTTTATAATCAGTTTTCGTTGGAGACTTCCCTATGATTTCTTCTAACTCGCTCTGTTTAAATTTATGAGTGACAACGTTACGAAGGTCCATGATCATGTTAATCAACCAAGAGAATGTTCGCTTTATAGACTTGAATTTACTTGTTTCGTAATTATTTGTGGATGAACTATTATTGGGGGTTATCGAGTCACCTAATCTATCCTTTTTATCTCCTTGATCGTTTCCTTCAATGACTTTTATGATTTCT